TTCTTCCCTCAGCCAGCGTCCCCGCAAGACTCAGGGCTCCAACCTCTCCAGCTTCCCCTCGTGGAAATCCATCGGCCCCTCCTCTTTCAAGCAACACTGTGTTCTTCCCACTGCTGACACAGGCTGCTTATCCGGGCACCTGGGCCCTGCTCTGCGTGCGCCCTGCGTTCTCCTCTGCACGCACCCCGGGCTCGGCTCTGCCTGTGCCAAGTTCTTCTCCCCACAGCCCAGGGGCCACACACCGCAGCTGCCACTCCAGAGACCAGGAAACCCAGGCACAGGGGCGTTTGCCACATTCCAGGTCTCGGGGCTGCCACGGACCTGCTGACCGGACTTCCGTGGGTCAAGGGCCCAGGCCACCTCCTCCAGCAGCACTGTGGCCGCCACCCCAGACTCAAGCCTCTGCCTCAGCCCCCGTGTTCTCCTGACTACAGGTTTCACTCCCCCAAAATCCACCTCACTGCCTCAGCGTGGTCGTTCCACAGAATACATCCCAATCCAAAGGGGTCTGGGGTAGGCAGAGGGAGGCGTGTGCGCATGAGCTCTGGTCTCTGAAGCTCTTGTCTCTGAATTTAGAAGGCAGGTTCCTCTTTGCTGAGAGGTAAGGGGCTCCCTCCTCCCTACACCTGGTGTCCGTCCTGTGATTCCGCCTGGAAGCCTAACGTGAAATCTTTTTAAAGTTGTCCTTGGAGGACTGGGGCGGCTGTCCTGCCCTTCGTCCAGTCTTCAAGACTCCCTTTCGTTTGTAAAAAGGATAGAAATGTAAATGGCAAAGGATTACTCTGTCCATCAGAAAATGTGAGAGAGAAAATCATGCCTGGAAAAGCTGAGCCCTCCCATCCTCCCACCTGAACCTCAGCACGAAGCGCATGTGGGTGCTGAGGTGACACCGAGTTCTCAACCACATTCCTCTCCTTTCTGTGGGACAACCAAAACCACAAAAGTCCCTGTTTTAAAGAATGCCATCTGCGTCTTGGAAATTAACAGCTGATCTGTTCAGGTTTAAGCTGAAATCTGGTGAAAACCTGCCCAAGAGAATCACAAATTATTAGTCTGATAATAGGGCAAAAACCTCAATTTCTCTGCAAGAAGAGAGGGGACCTCACGGAGACCTCACCTCGTGCAGTGCACCTTGCCCCAGCGGCACAAATTGCTGACAAAAAGCTGTGCTGTCTTCACCAGATAGCTTCCAACCAATTGAAGTCGCAAAGGAAGAGTCAGCCAAGATAACATGATGGTTTTTTTTTCTTTAACCCATTGCTTGTAGGAGGTAAATATTCCAGTCCCAAAGCATGGCCGGCAAACCCACTACAAGAAAATAAACTCCAATGCAAAGAAAAACCCTAGCTTTTTTCTACTGGAAAGTCACAAGTGCAGACAGGAAATGACCCGGTGTGAGGGGTCTCCTTCCCCAGAAAGTGCGAGGCTGCTGCGGACAGGGCCCCTGCTGTCCTTCCCTCCAGGGTGAGCCCACGAGCAGGAATGGCACAGGACTGTCGGCTCTGCAGGTTCCCTAGGAAACCACACCAGCCTCCCGCTGTCTGGGTGAACCCCTCGGTGCCCATGTGGAAAGCCCTTAAAATGACCGGATCACATGGTTCTGTGGGGCACTCGCCTACCCCAGCCATCCCCCGGCAACGGTGGGTCAAGTCCCCAGGACACCTGCAGGGAACCACGCAGTGTCCACAAACACAACGTGGGGGCCTCCGGGAGAAAAGAGGGCTCCAGCACAGGGTGAGGAGACACAGGCAACCAAACACACACACACAACATACCGCACACCACACCTATAATACACACCACACACCACACCATGCAACACACTATGTGTCATGCATACCACATATACAACACACTGTGCACCATGCACACACACCACACACATATAACACACACCACGCCACACACCACACACCACACAAACCACACAGCACACCACAAACCACACACATACAACACACACCACACACAACACATAAACCACACAGCATACCACAAACCACACACATACAACACACACCACACCACACACCACACACCATACCATGCAACACACTACGTGTCACACATACCACATATACAACACACTGTGCACCATGCACACACACCACACACACAACACACCATACCACACACCACGCCACACACCACACACATACAACACACACCACACCACACACCACACACAACACAAACCACACAGCACACCACACACTACACACAATACACACCACACCATGCAACATACTATACCACACCTACACCACACTATACACATGCAACACATACCACACCACACATCACTACATACCACACACACATCACATAAGACACACCACACACACAGCAGTGTTTCCTAGGGAGGGAGACATCCACAGCACAGGGCATTTGACCACCCATAGGAATCAGTCGTGATAATGGTCTGCGTCACGCAGTGCTGAGGCAGGCGCCTCCCTTTGGCCCTGCTGGTGCAGACACGCAGCCTCAGAACACATCACTTAGGGCCTGCCTGTGATTCTCCGCTGGGCTTGAGAGCAAAGAAGTAAACAGCCACGAGAAGTTCCTGACGCTACAAACAGGAGAGCAAGGGCACAGTCAGACACGTGGGAAGCCGCGTCCAAGCAAAGAGCCTGGAAAAGGGAAAGCTCGTCCTGACTTACGTAAAGCAGTCCTGAGAAAACGGAGTCCATATTTTAGCATAAGCTTCAAGTTTCCGCTGCTTACCACTTACCTAAAGATACAACTAAGATAATCACCTACAGCTGAAAATTGTCTTAAATTTTAATTTGGCTGTGATACACACTCTGTGGTTTCAGCTCAGGATAAAATATTCCTGCCCAATTATGATACGCAGCTAATTCTCCCTGATGGAACGTGGCGTCTCCAGCACAGCCACAGCACCAGCCTGAGCACTGGGAGGCTCGCAGAGTCCGCAAAACAGATGGGTTCTAGTTGTAAGGCAGCTCCCACCTCCGCTGCAAATAATCCTCAAAACGAGAGGGGCTTCTTCACCAAGGAAGAAATACCCGAACAGATCCACATCACACATCTACCCGACACACACACACACACACACACACACCCCGACACACGTCCACCTGACACGCACACTCATACACACACACACAAACCGACACACATCTACCCGACACACACACTCATACACACACGCACATACGCACAAACCGACACACATCTACCCTACACGCACGCTCATACACACACGCACATACACACAAGCCAATACACACACACGCACACACACACCGATACATATCTACCTGATGTGCACACTCATACACACACACTCATACACACACACATACATATGCACAAACCGATACACATCTACCTGACACATATTCACACACACACACTCATACACACACACTTATACACACACGCACAACCGATACACATCTACCCGACACACACACTCATACACATTCATACACACTCATACACACACACGCACATACACACAAACTGATACATGTCTACCCAACATGCACACTCATATACACACACATACACACAAACCAATACACATCTACCTGACATGCACACTCATACACACACTCATACACACGCAAATATGCAGATACACATCAACCCAACACTTATATACAACCCAACACACACTCATATGCACACACGTACAGATACACATCTACCCAACACACACTCATATACACACACACATGCATATGCACAGATACACGTCTACCCAACATACACAGTCACATACACACACACACAGATACACGTCTATGCTACACACTCGTATAAACACACGTGCACATACGCACAGATACACATTTACCCAACATATACTCATATACACATACACAGATACACACACATCTATCCAACACACTCATATACACACACATGCATACACACAGATACACATCTACCCAACATACATACTCATATACACAGATGCACAGATACACACACATCTACGCAACACACACTCATATACATATGCACAGATACACATTTACCCAACATACACTCATATACACACACACACACACAGATACACATCTACCCAACACACACTCATATACACACACGCATATGCACAGATACACACATGCCTACCCCACATACACACTCATACACACACACAGATACACACACATCTACCCAACATACACACTCATACACACACACACATTTACCCAACATACACTCATATACACGCACACATACACACGTGTGGGTGTGTGTACAGCCAGGCAGACACGTCCTTCTCTTTGAAACACCACTTCCTTCACTGGAAGAAAACACAAAACTTGTACAAAGCAAAGCATCAAATGTCGGATGCATTAACGGGGTGTCCTGAGAACGGGCCAGCCACTTGTGCCTTGCCGGGCCCGTGATGTTTGAATTCTGAGACTCGTTAAGTTCAGATCGACATGAGGGTGGGGAAAGAGCCTCGCTGCTGTGAAGCTCCTTCCCCCTCTGAAGGGCGCCCACACCAGGATATTTGGGCCACTTTGGTACAAAACAGATAAACCTGGAGTCCTTCCTAACAGGCAGGAGTCCGGTGCGCAGCAGTTTCCAGGGCAGTGTCCCGCCCCGCATTCCTGCGCCAGCCGTGCCCAGGCCTTGCTGTACACCTGCCTGTCCTGAGACCCCAGCCTTCCTGGCCCCCGCTGAAGGTGATTCTGACCCGCAGACAGGCGCTGCCTGCAGATAACAAGTCAGGACCGAGAACCCAGGAAGGGATTTGCTTGGCTTGGTTTTGTTTGATGCACTTCAGAGAACGGCTCTCAAGCTCTGGAACCCAGCTCAGAAGCACCGGGAGGAGCCACCGGCCAGGCACCGGGCCGCCCTCGCGCCTGAGACTCCAGGGATGCCTGCACCCCATTATTCAGTTAAAGACACTTAAAAGCATATGCATCCGCCACAGCAAGGAGGCACCCCACCTCCAGCCTGCTGGGACCAGCCCTCCCTCGGCACACAGGACCTGAGCCAGGGCTGCTACTCACTCTCTGTCTGTCACGATGTAGCCCCGCGCCTCTTCATCGGAAGGCTTGACTTCCAATTGCAGGCCGTCGCCGAGGGCCTCCTGAGCACCCGCTGGAAGGCTCTGCTCCTCCTCCGAGGGCCCAGGCATCTGGTTTTGGAGCTCCCCAAATGCGCCTGCCCCGGGCTCCGAATGCGGCTGCTGCCCCAGCAGGTCTTTGGAATACGTCTGGCTCTTGACGTTCTCCACTCCGGCAGTCTCCTCTTCTGAAGACAGGGAAGCCTCAGGGCGCTCGGATTTCTTCCTCTCCATTTTGAGGGGCTTTGCAAAGGGGAGGGCTCCAGGCGAGAGTTGAGACCCGTGGTCCTGCAGGAGGCCCCCGAGTGTGGCACTCAGACGATGGACCTGGAAGAGAGGACATTCTGTGAGGGACATCTGCAAAAGGCATGCTGAGGTGACACATGCAATCAACAGCTGCCTGGGACAGAGTCACCATGGGGATGACATGGGCAGCCTGGAAGGAGAGTGGGGGAGGAAGGCAAAGTGTGTTCAGTCTACATTTAGAATGATGTCTAGGTGAGCATGGGGTGTGAGGGTGCTGAGTATCCAAATCAATTGCGTGCTGTTCTCTCCTCCCTTCTAACCCCCTCACACACATGCACACACACACACCTCTCTGAAGAATCAGATTTTGTAGAGTCTGTGTAGGTCTTTGGCACTGATATTTTGAAAAATAAACTGTGTGATATCAAGATCCCATCCCAGCCCTCTAGAAGCAACAAACACCACCTAATAATAATAATAATAATAATAAATTTGCATCGACTGAGCTCTTCCAGCACACAAAGGTGCTGTCCTAAATGTGTTATATGCATGAACACACTGAGTCCTCATGTAAGCCTATGGGCGGGGAACCCTCAGTAACCCCAGTTTGCAGAAGGGGAGATGGAGGCACAAAGCGATGAACCCACGAGTGGGCACGTCACAGGGATGTGTAATTGATTCTAACGATACCTGAGGCATCTGTGGTTCCCACATGGGCAGCGCTCTCCCAGCCAGATCCCCTTTTCCCGGACCAGCCATCCCTCGGAACCCCTCGGCACCTCTGCTGACTATGTGTTGGATACGGACTTGCTTTGTGTGGGTTCTCACTTAATTACTACTCCAACCCCATAAAGAAAGGGTGAGTTTCACCTTTAATTTGTAGACTCTGGGGTTTACAGAGGTTAAATATCAAATTATTGGTACCAGATTACAAAGGTCATGCTTATCAGATCCAGAACTGGAACTCAGGTCGAAGGGCCGTCAAAGACGTGATCTCCACCCCCGGGCGCGCTGCCCTCCCAGGCACGCCACACTGCTTCCTAAGAAACACGGGGCTGCTCCTGCCGCTGGCACGTGCCAGGCAGCCCTCGGACACCTTCTGGTGCATGTGGTGCCAAGAGTCTTATGTCTACTTGGCAGGTTTTTTCCAACCATGAAATTATATCCTCAATATTACATTAGACGGAAACAGGAAAATCTGATTCGCTTTACGACTCACTTTGCCAAAACACAGTTTTAAGAAAATTAAGGAAGGTCTATAGAGGCAATTTTTCCGATTTTGGCTACAAATTACAACTTTTCCTTTTGTGTTTTTAAAAATTTAAACAAAATAGTAGTGTGATAAAAACACTGCTCAACTTCGGATCCTCAGTGACAACAGGACGTAGCCGTTGACGTCACTCAACAGAGCTAGGAAAAGGCATAATATTGTCAAATTGTGTTTCATGTGAGAAGAAAGATGTTTTTAAATAAATAAGAAGTCAGAAAATACAACACTCACATACCCTTTTTGAGAAACAGAATAGCTTGAAAATATACCCCAAACAGAACTAAATCAAAATTCCACACATGGAGGCTGAAAAGGCTGTGGTCTAAAAGTCAGGGGGTCTTTGTGGTCTAGAAGTCAGGGAGTCTTTGGCTAACGGCAGCCCCCGGAGCGCTCCCTGCCCCTCAGGTGGGAGGGCGGGGTCTCCCCGACTCCCTAAATTAGGAAATGTGTTTCTCAGCCCCACTTCTCCCTCCACAGCTCAGACGGCAGGTCCCACCATTTCTGATGGAAATTCGAAATAAGAACTGCTGATATTTTTTTCCTGTACTTGCCAACACACACGGAACCACAAACCACTAAGAGAATCTGAGGAGAGAATGACTAACCAAAGTCTCTTCTTTCTCCACCCCCAAAACTGGGTTTCCCAGAGCCACTCAACGTCACTGCTGTTGCTTAGGACGGTTCTTCATCCTTCGGCCTTGTGTTAATGACCAAAGGTTCTTAAAGGGGGAGAAACTAAGGGGCTAACCGACTTAACGGGGAAGGCCAGCGTCTAGCACGTGGACATCACCTGTGACTGGGCTCTTCTTCCAGCTGCCTCCGGAGCAGCGCTGCCCGTGGGGGCTCTGGGACGGCAGAGCGTCCTCTGCCTGTGGTATCCAGTGCCTTGGCCATGAGCCACATGCAACTAACAGGCCGCTGGCCTGAGCCCAGTGCAGCCGAGGCACTGCATCCTTTATTTATTTAATTTTAATCAATTTAAATGTAGGTTTAGATGGCCACATGCGGCCAGCGCGCTGAACCCCTCAGGAATCCGCACATGCAGGAGGCATCAAATGAGCAAAGCGAGGGGGAAATTCCAGGAAATATTAATTTTCTTCTTTGCATTTACCATGATTTTCGTATTTGTACCATAGATAAATTCGGTTATAATTTGAAAAGAGATATTTCGTATCCAAATATACCCATTTTTGTATGTTCTCTTTATACTGTTTTTCAATTTGGAGATTATGAGGGGTTTCTCCGTAACTTTCTGGGAAAAAAAACCTTTGTATTTCATAAATGTTCCCATACTATGAAAAAAAGATCACCGACTTCCACATTTAACACGAAACAAACACCACAGACGTCATCTTACCTCTTGGTAAAGTCTATCATCGTTGTCCTGAACTCCGCCATCTGTAAAAGACACCAGTGTTACCGAAACCCTCATCAAGAATGTCATCACAGGTGTCACAGACGTAAAAAGGGTGACCATTGCAGACCCCTCCATATGAAAGGTGAGGTGTGATGATGCTGGACTAATCCTGCCATAGAGTAATACACCTTTTCTGTTTATAGCACAAAATGGTATTCTATAAACATTGCAAAAGAGGAGGGAGGAGGGGACCGAGGAGCTAAACGGTGGATGTGAAGGCACCCACCATGACCTCGCCCGGCTCTGTGGGTTTCACGTGATCGTCAATGTTAACTCACGGCAAGAAAACCCATCGTACCCAGCGGTTCACATCACAAAAAAGCAAAGTGAAGCCTTCACCAAAACCACCTCACAATTAAGATGGCTTCAGAATCCACTGACTTAGGTTATTTCACTGGGGTCAATGTTTCTCTCTAAACAGGTAACCCGGCTGGGCGCGGTGGCTCACGCCTGTGATTCCAGCACTTTGGGAGGCCAAGGTGGGCGGATCACTTGAGGTCAGGAGTTGGAGATCAGCCTGGCCAACATAGTGAAACCCTATCTCTACTAAAAATACAAAAAATTAGCTGGGCATGGTAGCACACACTTGTAATCCTAGCTACTTGGGAGGCTGAGGCAGGAGAATCACTTGAATCTGAGAGGCAGAGGTTGCAGTGAGCCGAGATCGTGTCACCGCACTCCAGCCTGGGTGACAGAGCAAGACTCCATCTCAAAAAAATAAAATAAAATAAAATAATAAATATCCTACTTGCAGTGCCCAAAGGTGCATGACTCATGGCACCTGAACAGTCACCCCTGGGGACAGCACGCACACCAGGGCCTCCTACGTCCCTCCTAGCCCTGGTGCGGGTCCTGATTCCTTCAACCACTGGGCCGCCGCCTAACACAGGCCCTACCAGGGTGCAGTTCCACCCTCCCCTGCACCCTGCCCATCAGCCAAGTCAGGCTTCCAGCTTCCAGCAGGCCCCCCCTGCACCCGTGCGGAGAGAGGGGCACGTCTATCATTTGGTTTTCGGCATGTACTCGTGGGCCGGCCATGTGTGGGGAGCTGAGCTAGGCGCTTTCTTGCATCTCCACGCTGCGAGAAGCCATCAGGCCACAGAAGTGCCACCTGGCCCACGGGGCCTCCACAGGGCTCCGGCTGCCTGCTGGGCTGGGGTGCCAGGGGGCTGCTTTCTGCCTCCCCAGAGGCCTCAGAGGACCAACGCGCACAGACATTTGAATGATCCCCTCTCACTCTGCTATTTAAATATTTGACAATATTCACTGGTACACAGTCTAAACACAACACTTCTCATCACGCCTGTTTTCCTGACTCTGAGCCTCAGCGTGGAGGAGTGAAACCTCCTCACAGAGAGCATCTGCCGTTCAACATAATTGCTCTGGTAGGCTTAGTCTGTTAAGAAAGCTTTTAGAGGCAAAAGTTCAAACAGACAAAAAATCATTAATACAGATCCCCACATCCCCGGCAGAAAAGCCCACATTGCACTTGGTGAGCCAGCGGTCTCCGCACAGCCCTGAGGCCTCCCCTCCCCGCAGCACCCCTGGGCGTGGGCACCCATGGTGCTGGAGTCACCTGGAAAGCTTTCTCCATGGAGGGCGGCCTTGGGGCCATCCGCCTGTTCTCCAGACTCTCCCAGGGCCGCTTTCCCAGGGCCGCCTAGAGCTCCTCTGTGGTCCACGCCTTGCATCAGGCCAGCCATCAGCTCGGCCATGCTGTCCAGCTCCAGGTCACTCAGGCCCCTCGCCTCAGCTGGCTGCCTCTGCAGGTCCTTCAGGAGAGTGTGAATCCGTGCTCCTAGGGGCACACACAAACACGAGGACATGGTGGGTGGACGAATGCAAAGGGCCTCCGGGCTGCAGGGGTGTGGCGGCATCTGTGGCGTCCCAAGGCAGTGGCCACCTAGGGCCAGGTGCAGGCCGGCACTCAGAGAATATTGGGATATTGGACTTGAATCTCAAATCCACCTGACCCTGCGGCCATCACCAGTTCAGTTCCCTGGAGGTGGAAAGCCCCTAGAACGGAAGAACAGACTCATCCACCCGCTCAAGAGGATGGAAAGCACGACTTCCGGAAAACACTGGAATGACCAAGCCAGGAAGAGAGACGGGCTGGGCAACTTCACCATGTCCTCCAGATGATAAAAGAATGGAATGAGCCGTGTCCCCCTCACTTGGCAGTAGGAGAAACAATGCCTGGCAAGAACAGCGCCCTGCCCAGCACACCCTGCCCGGCACACCCTTCCCAACGCACCCGGCCCCCCACACCCTGCCCCAGCACACCCTGCCCTTCCCAACACACCCTGCCCTGCCTGGCACACCCTTCCCAACACACCCTGCCTGGCACACCCTGCCCCAGCACACCCAGGCTGCACACCCTGCCCCCCACACTGCCCCCGGCACACCCTGCCTGGTACAGAAGAGCACCACAGAAGCGGGCAGCCATTGTTATTCCACACTTTCTCCTGCTACAACAAGTAGAGAAAAGCCTCCATAGACTTTGGCCACCAGCGCATCCTAAATACGACACAGTGGCCCCAGCTGCCCATGTGCTGTGTGTGAAAATACATTTGTAAGTGAATGGATAATTCAGGAGGCCAGATGCAGCCTTCTTCCAAAGCCAGCCCCTCAAGCCTCTGCCGGAAGGCTAGCTAACAACAAGAATACAGAGAAGATAGTGGCTTGGGGGCCAGGGGACCCTCTGCTCTGTGGGGGCTCAGGAACACCTGAGTGGGAGGAACTCGGGGCCCACAGTGGATGGCCCATCCCGAGCCCCTGGAGTGAGCCTCTGCCTCTAGCTGTGGCAAGGATGCCCCCGGCTGTCACCTGGGTAGAGACAGGAGATGAGGATGTCAGACAAACCCTCCTGTGACGGCAAAAGCCGTGCCTGTTGATTAAACATAGTGGAAACGTGCTTCATCCGAAGACGCCATTTTCCAAAAAAAGACCCTTAAGATCTAGGCTGAGTGTGACACAGGTGGGAAGCCCCTCACCCTCCATCCTTGTTTCTGAGACCCCCACACACACCCTTACACTCCACATGTCCCCACCCCTCCCAATAGTGCAGGTGGAGACCAAGCCCCTCGCTGTGATGAAGGTGGGTGGGGGCCTCCGGTTACATCCCACATAAACCAGCCTCGACCGCAGGCCCTCTCTGTACAGTTCATCTGTGTTTTGCTTGTTTGTTCACTTGATAATGACAATGTAAAATAATGATAATGATGACGTAAAATAAAAGTAATGTGATTACTTTTATAATCAGAGAAGAAGCGACAGAAATTCTCTCTGGGGGTGCCTGCCCCCAGTGCCTGACCTGGGCGCTCCTCCCCAATGCTGGGTCTCCATGAGTGCCCAGTAAGATGGGGTGGAGGGTGGGGGCCTGTCACAGGGCCGGCACCCCCAGGGATCCGGGACAGAGAGGCCGGGGAAGCAGGGGTGCTGGGGGATAGGGAACCCAGGCCCTTGGCTACCACGCGGCTCAGCCGTCTCGTGCAGAGCAGCAGAGATCACCGAGTGAAGACAGTGGAGGGGCCGTGCACTTATCCACATCACAACTCACGGTTTCTGGACAGGTGTAAGGGCAGGTGCAAGACAGTCCCCCAGGCTGACGCTGGGGTCAAAGGTAGGGCTGGTGAGGCAACTGGAATGCAGGGATGGAGCACCTGGTCGACGGTCTTTGCAAAGGGCGTCCTGCACACAGGGCCACAGTGGCGCCCCAGGCTGAGTGCTGGGCAGCGGCCGAGTGCATGGTGCGGGGAACAGGAATCCTGCATGCCATATGGAGACATAGCAGAGCCCCTCTTGTGTGTAGGTGAAAACACAGAGGCCACGTCCTCAGAGGAAACGCCACTAGCATGAACCAACTCTAATGACATCTAAACACAGGCACACAGGGTCGAAGCCTCGTCCAAGAATGTGACTGCTGCCGGAAAAGCCCCTTAAAGGAAGGTAGCTGGGTCTAGGCCCCCGCTTCAGACAAGCAGCAACAGATGCAGGAGGAGGCAGAAAAACAGAATGGAAAATCGAGAATAGGGCAGTCGATGGTAGAGCGAGGAGATGAGGCTGTTTGCGGAGCGGCCGTAGCCACGGCGAGACGGGCGCACCCACTGATCAGCAGAGCGGGGAAATTAAAACAGAATCCGACACACATTCTGTGAGTGAAGAGCAGAGCGTCCGAACTTTAAAATCTTATGGAAGGACGTAATGGAAGAAACGGTTTGTGAATCTGAGGACAGATCACAGAAGTGATCACCGCTGGAAGCGCGGAATGGGAGACGTCCGCGGAACCTCAGTAACCCCTGGGGCAGGCCAAGCCGCTGCACTATTGCTGGAGTCCGGAGGGAACGGGACAAGAAACACCTGAAAGAAAGCCCAGGCGTCTCTCAAATCTGGGGAAGAATATTCACTCAGGGACTCAAGACAGTCACTCAGTTCCAAGATAATAAAATGCAAGGATAAGCACGCTGTAACTTTGGCCAAGCTGCTGAAAGCCAGACGTGGAGAAGATCCCTAGGAAGCAGCTGGGGTCGGGGCGGGGGGAAGACACCTTCCACACACAAGAATGGAAAGGGTCCTGGAGCTCAGAGGCCGCCAGACACACCACGTGTCCTGTAAGAACAATGTGTTTGATACAATGTGCATGGTCAGGCATTTGACGTTACAGATAACAAATGCCACATTTGAAGGGTTGAAAGAAAAACCATTCGATCCAGGAGTTTATATCCAATGACAATATCCTTCCAATGAGAGGGCGAAGGACAGACATTTTCATATCACGTATGTGAACAAAGCTGGGACAGCGGGTCCCAGGGGGCCACACCACAGGAAGTGCTGGGAGGAACCATGGCTGAAAAGAAACACCAGACAGAAGCCCAGAGCTATGGGAGAAGCCAAAAAGTTCCGAAAGGGTAAATATGTGGTTACATAAACAAGAAAGACCGTCTTCTTTTCTCCTCTTACTTTATCTAAAAAACAACTGATTGTTAGTACGGAAAATTTGTTACCACTTTAAGGTAGGGTTCATAAAACAGCTGCAGGTGTGACCTGGATGGCGCAAGAGGCTAGAGGGACCTGGAGCCTCCGACTCACCACGTCCAGGAAGTGGCACGATGACAACTCCAAGGAGACTGTTTCCAACAAAGGCACCAGGACGTTTCAACAGAGAAAGGGAAGTCTTTTCCGAAAGGACATCTTCCGTGTTACCCAGAAATTGGACTTGTAAGTATTTACCCGAGAGAAGTGAAACCCATGACCACAAGAGTCAAACGAGACTAGGGGTAGCAGCCTGACTCCTAATAGTTCCACAGACAGAGTCTAAAGTCCACGTGCCCGGCAGCAGGAGGGCGGATGAGGAGGCCACATCCACACCAGCACTGAGCCAGAAGGAACCACAGAGACGAGAAAAAGGGGGACAGACCTAGAACCAGTCAGGCTGAGTGAGAGAAGCCGGTCACCAGAGAATCCACCGAATCCTGTCAACGGAAGGTGAAATTCAAGGATGGGCAAGGTCTGCCCAGCGCAACCAGAGCCGCGTCACCTGCAGGAGGGGCTGGGGCGGGAGGAAGCACTGGGTGTGAGGGTGTGCCTTGCAGCGTGGCTGCTGGTTCCATGTGCACGTGTCCAGCGCATCGTCATGTCCACCTGTGATCTGCGCATCTCGCCGTGTGTACACTCCACCTCAACAGCAATAAAGACTCTGCCCTGAAGAAGACTGATGGGCCCGTTTCTCAGCTTTGAAGGAAAACCTGACTTTCTTATGTATTCAGTGTTGAAATCTCTGTCCTCATAAACGTTTATGTAAGATAGCTCATGGCCACGTCTCTACCTTCTTAAACGACACTGGCAGAGCGACGCAGAGGGGACACAGAATGTCCTGGACCCCACTGGGGTCTCACTGGGACCCTCCACTGTAGGGGGGTCCCGCCACCACCCTCCACCCTAGAGGGATCCCACTGCGACCCTACACCCTAGAGGGATCTCGGCACAGCCCTCTACACTAGAAGCGGAGGAATTATTTCTGCTTTTTACAAATTAAGAAATTCAGGCATTTTAGTTTTTTTTTTGTCTGCGCCAAATGCGTCACCAGGCCCGGGCTGCAGCCTGCAGTGTCTGCACGGGGCTCGACGGTGACGCTGCCTGTGGCACCCCCGTTCACTCAGCCGCACGTCCTGTCCTCTCCCCACGGCACGGGCTCTGTCTTGTCCACGTCGAGGCAGCGGGGCTGGCACCCGGTCCCCACGCGCCCCGTTCACCGCACACGCGGGACAGGAGTCAGTGTCTCGGGCCGTCTAGACTCGTATGACTTTCCAAACACCAGCGCTGGCAGCCTGTCGTGAGTTCTTTGAGGGGAAATTTTTTCAGTGCAGCCTCTTTTACCCATTAATTGAAGCTCGTTCTTCGGGGGCATCTTGCTACATGGCTGTAAGGACACATTTTTTTGAAGTTTCGCTTCATTTCTGAGCACTCTGCGCTGCGCCCCACCCCCCACCAGGGTCCCGCGTGGAAAGCGTCACAGCCACAAGCCTCTGACCTTCCTGTGTGAAGAACGGAGTCCCGTCAGCGCCACTCCAGACTTCCTGTTGGTGACTAAGACCTTCTGACGGAAAGGCCTGAGCGTCCACGACAGGCGTTTCTGAGACAGCAGCGTGTCTACGTAGTGTAGCACGGGATGAAGCGGACAGAGTCATTTAAAGTCAGTCTGTACACGAAACGTGTGATGGACACGGGCGTTCTGATCGGAGCGTGCTGGACGTCCACTGCCACCGACGTCCCCTGCTGGGGTGGCCAAGTCCCCTGTTA